CAGTCTGAAACGATCATGTGGAGCTTAATAAGCATCAGCTTTTAAATTACCCAAAATAAAAATTCACAATTTTGATCCATGTCAATTGGGAGCTCTTACGGTTGATTTAATTATGGTGTAACTACGTTTAGCGTGCGTTTTGTACCTTTACAGTGTAAAATACTTTTGCATTATTTGTTTGGTCCAGCTCCCGGTTGCACTCCCACAGATTTGATAATATGGAAGAGCTTCTTACATCTCAGCCATCAGGTGAGGTTTCAGCATGCATACAGAACGCTCGGTTGGTGTTTACCAACTAAAGGCAGTACAGAGTATCCTTGATAGTAAGTTGTCCGTGCTGCCGCTGTCTCACCGGTTCAGAGACAATTCGACAATTCAACATTCGGCCACCACTGAGTAACCCGCATTGCACGAATCTGGTGGGGCAACTGGATAAGTAATTGTGGGCTTGAATGCCATTTTTAAGGTAATCGCGGTTGCGCATGAGAGAAAGTGCTCAAACATCAGAGATTATTTTGATCGGGGTATTTCTTACGCATGCAGCCATATGGGTTTCCTTGATGTGCGTTGTTGTCCCCGCAGGTAACCGATGGAAAAAGTCAAGGATGGTCAAATTCACACATGTGATTAGGGTACGAAACTCTTGACCACAGGGTTGTTATGTAATTCGCCTTGGGCTTCTTGCATGGTCTTCTCAACTTGCATCGTGAGATGCGTAGTCGTAGCTTTGTTCTTTCAGGCGGCAAAGTAAGGGGAAACTCCGTGCTGATCTGTGCATACCACCGAAGGAATTCTGGACGCTTGATTGGTCGTGGTCATTTCCCGACTCGTGCATACTGAACTAAACTGAGCTGACATCCGAATCAGTAAACTTTACAGTTCAATAGGCAACGCCCGTGCTTCCATCGGGTTTCGTGGAAAATTTAGTTAACTTGTATCGTTTCGGTTCCGCATCTGTACGCAAAAAATTGCCTCCAGCCTTCACATCATTCACTCTAAACCTTCATCAAAATGTGCAAGTGGAAGTTTGCAACCCAAACCACCGCATGGAAGTGTACGAGGATGCGTTGTATGAACTGAAATGCTCGACAGACTGGTCTTTGTAAAATGTACAGCTGAGTGAGCCAGTTCACACATTGCATTGTTGAATCTAAGTATACATAAAAAGAGAATAGTGGGTGGTTGGAGAATAGTCTGAATTTCGACCCGTAACACTTATTTATCACAGAACTTAAAAGGACGAATTTCATTCCTTTTGGAAACACATGCATTCAGTTTACGCGCCGATACAAGCGATCTAACTTCTTTTCTCATACTGCAGTGATCGTAGTAGTAATACGCACGGAACTCAGAACACAAGCCACGCAATAGAAATCACAGGGCACGAATCAAGGATCAGCTATCACGGATTGGAGCACAGATGCAATGGACCGTAATGACACTAGCACGCAATGTCCCGAGACGCGAGGAAAAGGCCACAAGAATAGTAGTTTGTTTATTAGAAGAAATGAGGGCGATTAAATAATATGTACCAAAGAAGATCATTAGTTATCTAGGCTTCCACCAATCGCATTGCAGTATTGCTTGCATAATTCTGCTTCCGTCTGAACTGTTTCGGATTGGCTGGCACTATCCGCCTGTGGCGTGTAGTCAGAAGCCATGACACGCACGGGCATCATTGACGTCACCTTTGAAATTAGATTGATCGCAGATGTCCAGAAACTGTAACGTACCGCCCCAGGGTAGGCGTCATCACGTAGGCCTGGATCGGCACAACTCACCTCCCTCAAACGAGCTTCGTCGAACCAGTTTGCTCTTCTGATTCGTCGTCGGAGTGCCACTAGGGTATTCTCGTCGATACACGTTCCCGGAATAGCGAGCTGTGGCCTTTGATCTTCTGTAGTCGGTAACGGCGTATCACAAGGAGGGCTTTCTTGGGTTTCTTCTGCTGGGTCTTCATCCACAGTAGGAGTTTCATTGAAGTGAATCTGATCGATGTGGCGTCGGTGAGCTGTAGCATCTGTCAGGTCTGTGATCTCAATCACAGCTTGACCAATCTTACTGTTAATAATTCCTTTTGATTGCCCCAGATGGTTCCCTCGTAAGTATAGGAAGTCACTTAAATCCACGCATCGTAGTGAGGAACGTAAGTTTCTGGCTTTGAACAGTTTCACTGGGCACTCTTTGGTGCTAACATGTGGGGCATTTCGGTATTTTAGCAAGAAGTTGTCTAGGAGTACCTCCTACTCTGAAATTATCCTTGGACTTGCAGAGCTAATGGCACTCTTCACCATTTTCACCAAATATTCCGCTGTGATGCGGTTTTGTGCGCAGATGTCGGCAGCCAGTACTGTCCAGTCACGTTTGTAACTCCGCAGCGCAGAATTGCGATCCATTGTCAGTCAAAAACACGTGTGTAACACCTCGACTGAAACAATTTCGGGTACCCTCATCACAAACGATGCTGTTGGGGTGCTGGTTAGAGACACTTCAGGCCATTTTGAGTACGAATCGGTGAGTAATAGTGCGTGGTAATGACCGTGAAATGGTCCACAGAAGTCAGCGTGCACGCGTTGCCAAGGAATGTAGCCTTCTGGCCATGGTGCTCAATTCTTCTGTTTTTACCTCTGCTTGTGTAGGCACGCTTCGCAGTTTTTAGCTGTTCGAGCAACATCTTCATCTAGACCGGGTCATCAGCACATCTGTCGTGTCAACGACTTCATCTTCTTCAACCCTTAGTGGCCCTTGTGCAGATCTTCTAGCACTACGTTGCGTAGTAGAGGTGGGATGATCAGTCGATCGTTGCGGCATAGTATTCCGTCAGGTTGAACACTGATTTCTTTACGATGCTCATGGAATGTTGGAAACTTCCGCTTCAGGTCTGGACGCCATCCTTTTGACAGGTCCGTTATGATTTCTGCATATTATCTTCTGGTACATCGGCGCAACTCCTATGGTGATACCTGGGCAACTGCAGAAATGAAATGGCACCTCTTAGTCACCGATAATTTGGACCAGCGAGAGAGAAAATCGGTTTGAGGAATTGTTTTGCTAGAAGGTGCACTATATCGTAATCGTAGGCAGCCAATGCAATACTCCATCGCTGAATCATTGCCACTGTTGGTTTGGAAATGGACCTTTTGTGGACTGAACAAGTACCGCAAGGCTTAAAGATCGGTTACTATGGTGAAACGCAGTCCGAACAGGTATTTGTGCAGGTGTCGGACAGCTCAATATACAGCCAATGCTTCTTTCTGTGTCTGCGAATATCCTCGTTCTGTCGTGTTCAATAGACGAGAGATGCAGACAACGGGCATTCGTCCGTCGGTGATCAAAGTTGGATGTTTCGTCGGAGAGGACGAGGCAAGTACTGGTCGGTCAGTTATCATCTGAATGATTTCACGCAGAATTGATTCACTCTCGGCGGTTCATTTTCATTCTGTAGTCGACTGAGCTGCGAACAGCGATTGAGCTTTCGTGGCGAAGTGCGGGATGAAACGTGAATAGTATTGGAGACATCCCATGATGGATCTGAGTTGGCTTTGGTCTCTCGGTGATTCGAGTTCAGTCAATGGCCGGAAGCAACTCGGATCAGGAGGGTAGCCTTTTGCATCAACTTTGAAGCCCAAGAATTCCAATTCTGGTGAACTGAACATGCATTTAGAAGCGCGAATTGACATATTCTTTTGAGCGAAACGTTTCAGTAATTTGAGAAGTCTATCGTCATGCTCGGCCTTCGTTGTACCAGAAATAATGATATCGCCCTGATATGCTAACACACCATCGAGTCCCCAAATGACTCCGTCA